CCAATTTCTGGAGCCGTTTCCAATCAACTTGCCAAATTTCAGCCCAATCCGACACCGTCGCGACAAATGACGAAATTACCTCTGGTGCGCTTTTGGCGTTGTTAATTTTCTGTCCAACACATCTTCAACCTGACATAATTAATACGGAAATTATTTATTCAGAGGCCTAAACGAAGGAATTTGGCTAAAATTGCGAGGTCCTAGGTCTGCGCTCCGAATCCAATTTCTCGGGCCGTTTCCAATCAACCTGCCAAATTTCAGCCAATTCCGACACCGTCGCGACAAATGACGAAATTGCCCCTGGTGCGATTTTTCTTTTTTTATTTTCTGTCCAGCACTTCTTCAACCAGACATAACTAATATGAAAATTAATTGTTCGGAGTCCTAAACGAAGGAATTTGGCTAAAATCACATGATCCCAGGTCTGTGCCTCGACTCTAATTTCTGGGGCCATTTCCAATCAACCTGCCAAATTTCGGCCCATTCCGACACCGTTGCGACAAATGACAAAATTGCCCCTGAATCAGTTTTGTGTTGTTAATTTTCTGTCAAACACATCTTCAGCCTGACATAATTAATACGAAAATTAATTGTTCGGAGGCCAAAATGAAGGAATTTGGCTGAAATCACATGATCCCGGGCTTGCGCCACGAGTCCAATTTCTCGGGCCGTTTCCAATCAACCTACCAAATTTCGGTCCATTCCGACACCGTCGCGATAAATGACGAAATTGCCCCTGGTGCGATTTTTCTTTTTAATTTTCGGTCCAACACTTCTTCAACCTGACAAAATTAATACGAAAATTAATTATTCGGAGGCCTAAACGAAGGAATTGGGCAAAAATCTCTTGATCCTGGGTCTGTGCCCCGACTCCAATTTCTGGGGCCGTTTCCGATCTACCTGGCAAATTTTGACCCATTCCGATACCGTCGCGACAAATGACAAAATTGCCCCTGGTGTGGTTTTGCATTGTTAATTTTCTGTCCAACACATCTTCAACCTAACATAATTAATACGAAAATTAATTATTCGGAGGCCTAAACGAAGGAATTTGGCTAAAATCCTGTGATCC